TAGAAGATTCTGTGATTCTGTGGATGCTCTGCAGTGACAGATGCAGCTTTGAGGTGCATCATCCATGGAGGGGGAAGTTGGTGCCAAAGGAGAGGGCTTGTGCCATCCTCGTTCCTTCATCGTGAAGGAGGAAGAGCTCCAAAACCACCTCCTGAGGGGGGTTCCTGCCTGGGGCTTGGGTTGCTTGGCTTTGTGGTGTGTGTTTGTTTTTCACCGTCTCGTCCCAACCTTTCACCCGTGTTTTCTGGCTTTGGGAGGAGGGCTGGGATGATGAGGTGCTGCATGGACCTCTCAGACCCAGTAACGCTGGGCTGTTTTAGTCTCCAGCAAAGATCTCTCCTTCCAGCTGCGTGCTCAGGTGCGGGAGGTTAATGGGCTTCACGGCGTCGGGGAAGGCGCCGAGATGAGGGTGATAAGAACCACGCGGAGGGAAGTTAAATGAAGGCTTAGCAGGAGCAGCTCTCCCTCGGAGCAAATATCCCTGGGCACAGGCAGCTGTTGCGTGCCCGGCCGTTGCTGGGCTCCTCAGTGCCCTCTGGGACCATCCCAAGCTTCCCGAGGAGCATCCCCCAGCGTTGGCACAGGCGTGGGGTGCTCTATCTCCGTGGGGAGGCTGGGGACACAGCGGCAGCACTGCTGCCGTCACGCAGGGCTGCTCGGTCTCCTCTGGCAGGGTGTTTGCCATAATCCTGCTTTATAAATCCAACCTTGGCCTTTGGCCTCCCTGCGCCGCTCTGGTCTCTGCTCCGCTGCCTCCCAAGTTAAACCCACTCGTCTGACGGAGTGGGAACAGCCAGGGCATACTTATTGCTGCGTGGGGGCTGGGAGGAGAGATTTAGCCAAGCGTTGGACCAGTTTATCCTTGGAAAGCCACCGTGCAAAAATATTGGAGCAATGCAGGAGAGCCCTGGGTGCGAATGGGGAGAAGGGGGGGTGAGGAGGAGGTGGGCAGCACCCTTGGGTGCTCGCTATGTTGGGAACAGTTCCCCTGCACACTGTCCCCTCGAGCAGCGGGGATGCTGACAGTAGGGATGGTGCCCACCACCTCGCTCCCAGCAGCTCCAGGGCGTCAGAGGGGCTGCCCCCCAAGAGATGCCACCAGGAGTAAGCATTCGTGGGTGAGCTTGTGGGCAATCGGGGCTGAAAAGTGATGTCCTGGAGCAAAGCGAGGCAAAACCAGCAGCCGTGCCTTTGGGTGTGCCACCCTCTGGGCAGACCAAATGTCACCCACCCCGTCCCCACTCTCCTTTCCCACGTGGTTTTCGGGGAGGGAGGGTGCACACCCGGCCGTGCCACCTTCACTGCCACCTGCCCGTCCCGAGTCCGTCCCATCCCTGAGGCTTCTTAATCCCAGGCAAGCCACCTCGCCGAGCGGGGAGCTCCTGATGGATCTGCCCGGGCGAGCAGCGAGGCGGCGAGGAGCGCCGTGCGGAATACCAAAGAGGCTGGGGAGCGATAAAACCCGCTCGGCACCTTCCCCCTCGCAGACCCTGCCGTCGGGATCTCCAATCCCTTGCAAATCTCCTGCTGGCCTTTTATGACCTGCAGAGTCATTTCAATTCGGTGTTTTCAGCCTCTAAATCTCCTGTCCTTAGCCCTCGGTGACTTCTGGGGAAAGAGCTGCGCTCCTTAAAGTGCCACAGCCAGGGCAGTCGCTGCAGCAGAAACTGCTGGAAATTTGCAGGTGTTTCATACACGTGCTTTATTTTTGCTAATTCCTCTAATTTTTCTTGCTGTTGGAACCACACAGTTGACACCCCCAGGTCTGAAGCCCCCCCGGAGGTTTCAGTGGCTGCCGTGTATGGGCACGGGACCCCTGCCCAGGTCCCCGCTGCGCTGCCTGCATCCCGGGCATCTCGCAGTCCCCGCACGCAGCGCACCTTGAGATGGACCGATTGATCTGTAACACTTGAAAAATAATGATTTAATCATTATTAAGGATTAGAAATAATCCCTGAGCTGTATCGATCACGGTAACATTATTCATGATGAACTCATTTGGCATTAATGGGGATGTCCTGCAGCAGTGTGTGGCTCCGGGCAGACCCGTCACCTTCCCTGGGGAGATGTGGTCAGGGAGGTTTCCTGGAGCAGCAGCACCTTCCCAGCCCTAACACACCACTCCAGGTCCTGCTTGTGAGCAAAGCTGTCCCAACTAACTTTTGGGGGTCCTATCCTTGTTGCCATGGTATTTAAGGGTCCTGAATCCAGCGACCACCCACCCTGTTCATGTCAGCAGCCCATCTCTGGGCAAGGGCTGGCCGGGGCTCCCCTCTAGCACCAGCCAGGGATGGTCCCATGGGAGCCCCCCGACATGGCATCACTTCAGGCATGTCCCAAACAGGGGAGGCAGAGGGTCCCTTCTTGCAGAGGAGGGGTGGCTGGCTGCCTGCTTGGTCCCTCTCTCCTCCTAGTTCCCATCTCGGTCACAGGACTGAAATGTCTTTAGCAAGGAAAATGCTGCGGGAGCAACAGCTGGGAGGCTGCGGGGACACTTCTCCTGGGATGGGTGTCTGCTGGTGGCTGGGAGCCATCACACACCCTGCCATGGCTGTGCCATCCTGCCACGGGCTCCCCTGTCCCTGCAACATGCTATTTATCAAACAAGAACATCTGGATTTATTTAAAAAAAAAAAAAAAACACCAAAGTTGTGTCCCGATCGACTTTGACAAATTGACATTTTCCAGAGGAAAAATATCTTCTGTCCAAGTGTCGTTCCTGGGTGTAGCCGTCCCCTACTGCACCATTTGCAACCCTCCAGGCACTTGGCAAAAGGTGATGAATAGTTAAAGATGTCCATAAATCTTACCCCAGCCCATAATAAACAAACACGCTCTTATCAAGTATAGAAAAATGCATATTTCATCACCGCTGCCTTAAGTGCGACTCAGAATAAATGCTCGCCTTTAATCAGCCATCTCGATATATAAACACAAAAGCCTGGGGGGTTGAGGTGCAGAATTGGGCCACAGGTTTTCTAGGCAGCTCTGGGGAGGCAGGGCTGTGGCTGTGCAGCCAGCCCCCCGCAAAGCTGCCCTCAAAATTGACATTTTTTGGCTTTTCTCTCCAGCCACGCGTTGTCTCCCGTTCTCTTCTCCCTGCCACTGGGGCTGTAGGTGTTTTGTTTCAGTGCTCAGCTGATAGCTGATCTTTGCCCTTGCATGCTGGCCGTTGAAAGGAAGCACTTGGATTTGGAAATCGAGATTTAAAAAAAAAAATAAAAATTGAGAAAAGATTAAACAGGAAAGTTTCGACCGGTGCGTGCCGAGATTGTGTGGTGATGGATACGCGTTTCCCTGCATCTGATAAGAACAAGCTGCGTTCTCCAGTGGGGGAGGGTCAGATTTATGATGTCTTTTGCTGCTCATTGCCTTACTTTCGAGTACCTGTGCTTTGCTGGGCTCCTGGTAACACAGCACCCGCTGTCGTCACCCTGCTCCTGCCACCCTGCCCAGGCTGGGTGCTGCTGCTCTCCTGCAGGCAGTGGGGGCACCTGAAGGAGACACCGTGAAGCCTTGGGGCTTCCTTTCCATGGAGCATCCCTTTAGAAGGGCTGAGAGCACCAGAGGAACTGGTGACAGCAGGGACAGTGGCTATGGTGTGTGTGGTTGTGCCCAGGGCTCCTGCACACCTCTCTGGAGATCATCATCTCGTGTGTGCGTGTTCTCATCTCCAGGCACTCTCCAGGCCCTGGGGAAATAAATTCCCAGGGATGTAGCTGAACTTCACTGCCCCCCCAGTGGGCTCACACCAGCATGTGAGGTCCCTGCTGAGCAAAAAAGTGCTGTTTTATTCTGGGATTTGTGGTTCACAGGGTGAAAGTTGGGCTTGCGATGGCACGGGGACTCTCATAGTGTCTGTGTGGTTCTCCCCAGGCTGTGATTTGGGCTTGTTGTTTGGCCCAGGATGTCACCCTGTTGTCTGTGCCCCTTCCTCCTCCTCCCAGCTGATTTGGGGGCTGGAGGTGACCAGGACTTCCCCCCCATCAGCTGCACTCTGGCTGCTGGCACCATTTGTGTGGAGCAGAGCGAGTCCCATCCCGCTGGGGGATGTGGGGAACCGAGGAGCAGGCGATGCAGCAGCGCCTGCCATTAGTCACATCCTTGCTTGGTGTGTCTCCCTCTAACTCGCTAGGGAGCCTTCCTGGGCTGTGACAACCTCATGAGCCTCATGGCTAATTAACCCTCTACAGATTAGCCACTCAGCCCTGGAGCTGGGACCCCGGCGGGGTGTATTCCCTGGGAGCCTTGTAGAGCCAGCGGTTGGTGGGAGCAACCTGGCGAGCTGTGCCAGGTGAGACGAGGCTGCTCTGTCCCTTTTGGTGCCATTGAAGGCCAGATTGCAGCTTCTTCCCAGCACTACCAGGGGTTGCCTGGTCTCCAGCCCTGCCCTGATGCACCCTTCATGCTGTTGAGGCCTCTGGTGGCTCAGCCCAAGCCCAGCAAGGCTGCCCCAGTGCTGAGCATCCTGCTTCTGGCAAGCTCTGCTTCCTCTGGCTACCCAAGACGAGCAGCAGCTTGCCCGGCCAGAGCCATCGGGATGGAGATGCTTGGGTCTCCTTTATGTGTTTTTGAAGCATTTTGAAGGGTCTGCCCTGCCCTGCAGAGAGCTGGGTGCCATGGGTGCAGGGATCCAGGTTCAGCCCTTGCCCTGAGCCATAAACAAGAGCTTGCCCAGCTCTGGTGGTAACACCAGAGGCCACCAAGCTGCGATGGCTCAGCCCTGATTGAGTTCAAGTGGCAGCAATCCCTTTAGAGATACCTGCTTCCTCCAGGAATGGTGGGAGCAAGGAGAGAAACACTGGCTGTCCATGCCTGGGACGTCCTTTTCCGGGCATTGCTGCCCACATGCTTGCCTTTTTGCATGTCAGAGAAGTGTTGGGGTCCCAGAGGGTCCCCAAAATGGAGGGAGGTCAGGTGCTGGGGTGGGTTGACGTGTGCCATGCCCAGCTCCTCTTGCTTTCCCTGGGCTCACTTCTCCTCTCCCGTTTGCTTTGCAGAGACTTGCCAACGCGGCGGAGAAGTTCCAGAAGGCTCACCACTGGCAAGACAACATCCGGGTAAGGCTCCGTGCGTGCCCCAGATGCTCCCACCCCATTCCCTCCTGGATCCTGAGCTCTGCGGAGGCACCAGCCTCGGGAATCAGCTCCTCATCCCACCCCAGCTCCCATCCCTCGGCTCTTCCTTCCCCGCGTTCTCAGCTCCCTGGTGAGCCCCCACTGGCCGTGCCGTGCTGCTCGGCACACAGGCAGCCCCGGCACCACCGCCTGCCAGCACTAATGAGAGCAAATGAAGCCATTTTGAGCTTGTTGCCAGCACACGCCATAAGGAGAAGGCAGGAGGTGAAGGTCAAGCCGGTGGTTAAACGCTGAGGGTGTGGGGAGACCCTCCCCTCCCTGGCCATCTCCGGCAGTTGGTGGGTTTGGTGCCGAGCAGGGTCTCTCAGGGGGTGACAGCCCTGGCCGTGGTCACACGCTGGCACGTCGGTGGCAGCTGGCAGGAGTGTTGGTGGGGGCTGTTTCTGAGGGAAGGAGCAATCTGGGCTGGGAGAGAGGGAAGATGCGGGTTTAATGATTGCATTTGACTTTGTAATTCTGGCGGTGATGGCGCTCAGCGGGAACCTGAAGGATTCTGCCTGGAAATGCTCTCAAATTATAACAATAATACAAAAGGAAGGAAAGATTGTTTTCCTTCCAGTGCGAACGGAGTCTACAATAAAAAGTACTCCTGAGCCACCTAGCACCTCCTCTGGGTCGGGCCAGATCCTGCCCAGCCCCAGGGAACCCTCTGCAGTAGCTGAGGAGAGAGCCTGGGGACAGCCCCACTGCTGGGACTTGCTGGTGTGTTCTGGGGGGTGTTTCTCTATCTGCAACCACGATCCACTCAAGGAGGAGAGGAGATGAGGACCTGGAGCCACATCCCTCTCGTGCAGACCCTCCTGCCAATGATGATGGTCAATAGGGTTTGAGAGGAAGAGGCAGGAGGAGCAGAAGAGAAAGCCAAGTGGCAAGCTGCTTGACTTTTTCTTGCCACGTGGCCAGCATGGGGTGGATGCTCGTGGCCAGTTCTCGTCCCCCCAGGAGCTGTGTTCCATAGGTACCCAGAAAGGCTGAGCTTGCAGGGGCTTTTCCTTCCTCAGCAGACACATCTTCGCTAAGGAGAGGTGAGGTGTCCTCACTGACCCCCCAGCAGACAGTTGACCTTGTCACTGGTGGTCACCAAGAGCTGCTGTGAGGAGGATAGCAGGTTACAGAACAGGCTGTACTGCTGGGGAGCTCTTGGCTCATTTTGCCATTCACGGCACAAACCTTTCAGAAATCCACTTTCGTAGAAAAAATATTTTTAATAGCACTGTTTGCAACCACTTAATCAAGGTAATTAGGAGCGAGTCACCCAGAAACAATGTGCAGCGATGCGTCACCGCAGAGCTCGACGCAGCTTTTATCAGGACAGCCCAGACCTGGCTGGGACACTTGATGGACTGGCCCGGCTCTGTGCACAGCGAGCGGGGGTGCTGGGCTTTTGCTCCCCCCACAGCGGGCAGCTGTGCCTTCATCAGCCCTGCCTTCATCAGCCCTGCCTGCATCATTCCTGCCCTCATCATCCCTGCCTGCATTATCCCTGCCTTCCTCAGCCCTGCCTGCATCAGCCCTGCCTGCATCATCCCTGCCTTCATCAGCCCTGCCTTCATCATCCCTGCCTGCATCATTCCTGCCCTCATCATCCCTGCCTGCATTATCCCTGCCTGCATCAGCCCTGCCTGTATCAGCCCTGCCTTCCTCAGCCCTGCCTGCATCATCCCTGCCTTCCTCAGCCCTGCCTGCATCAGCCCTGCCTTCATGAGCCCTGCCTGCATCAGCCCTGCCTGTATCAGCCCTGTCTTCATCAGCCCTGCCTTCGTCAACCCTGCCTTCATCAGCCCTGCCTTCATCATCCCTGCCTTCATCATCCCTGCCTGTATCATCCCTGTCATCAGCCCTGCCTGTATCATCCCTGCCTTCATCAGCCCTGCCTGTATCAGTCCTGCCTTCATCAGCCCTGCCTGTATCAGCCCTGCCTTCATCAGCCCTGCCTTCATCATCCCTGCCTTCCTCAGCTTCCTCAGCCCTGCCTGCATCAGCCCTGCCTGTATCATCCCTGCCTGCATCAGCCCTGCCTTCACCAGCCCTGCCTGCATCATCCTTGCCTTCATCAGCCCTGCCTGTATCATCCCTGCCTTCATCAGCCCTGCCTGTATCAGTCCTGCCTTCATCAGCCCTGCCTGTATCAGCCCTGCCTTCATCAGCCCTGCCTTCATCATCCCTGCCTTCCTCAGCCCTGCCTTCATCATCCCTGCCTGCATCAGCCCTGGTTCCGGGGCAGAGCAGAGGGATGGAGGGGCTGTGTAAGTGGCTCTCACTGCTGACATTCACTCTCCTTTTGCTGTCCTTTGGCCGTATAACATCAGGGCACGGTCAGACCTGCGTGCCAGCTCCGTGACACCGTCTCTGCTGCTGCCCCCCGGCTTGTCGCCGGCGCTGGCACGGGCAGCGGGCAGGGAAGGCAGCAGCGCAGCATCTCCAGCTCCTCCTCCTCTCCCTCCCCACCGAGCGGCTCCTTCCTTCTGGCCGCAGCTCTCCCCTCCTCTCCCGGCGTGTCGCGTCCTAACCTCGCGCCGGAGTCGATGACAGATTGCGGCGAGCGCGGTTATTTTTGTGTTTCCATCCGAAGGCGCGCCGGCAGATGCCGAGTGTTTGCGCTGCATTAGTGCTAATGGCAGCCCCATTAAACCTCGCTGCAGATGGGTTGCTATGGAAGTCCGGGGGAAAATGAAGCAGGAGCAGGAGCCCGAGCGGCTGGGAGGCTGCTGCCAGCAATGGCTCACAACACATCTCGACGGGGGAACTTTCTTTTTTTATCCCTTTTTTTTCCTTTTCACCTTTCCCAGCCGCACACCGGCCGTGCTGGCCTTCCCAAAGGGATTGAGGTCAGCCTCCCACCTCAGGGGGCTTTGCAAAGTGCTTCCCCCTTCCCAAAATGTTCCCCTCACAGAATCACAGAATCTTCTAGGTTGGAAGGGACCTTAAAGATCATCTTGTCCAACCGTCAACCTAACTTTGACAAAAATAAACACCCACACAACACACAAAAAGCAACACCATCACTAAACCGTATCTCCCAGCACTACATCAACCCGTCTTTTGAACACCTCCAGGGATGGGGCCTCAACCACCTCCCTGGGCAGACCATTCCAATGTCTGATAACCCTTTCGGTGAAAAAATTTTTCCTAATATCCAGGAATGCCACGCTGTCCTGCCCCATCCGTGCTCCTTGTCCTTGCCCTCCCTCAAGCCCCCCACATCAAGTCAGTGTCGTGTCCCCACGTGTCCCCAGAGCTCTTCTGCACACTAGAGCACTTGCGCAGGCAAGAGCTGGGTCCTGTTGCCACGGAGTGGGCTCCTGCCATGGGGCAGTGAGACCTCCTGGCGCTGGTACCAAAAGAGACCACAAAAAGCTCAGTGGCCTGGCCAAACAGTTTTCCCAGTGAGAAGCTTCTGTCCTCCAGACTTGCATCCAGGGGTCTGCAGGGGCTCTGCCAGGACAGGCTGGCTCTGCTCTGCACAGAGTCATGGGGCTCTGTCCCTCGAGGCACATCAGGGTTGTCCCCCTGCTCCAGATGTCCCCCCCAGCTGTGTCAGAGGTGTTGACCATCCCTGGCAGCAGGTGGAGGTACCAGGGCTGCAGCCCTCACCATGATGCTGTTTACTAGGTTTCCACCCTCTCTTTGCCACCCTGCTCAGGTGAGAGACCTGCAGAATGTACCTATAAAAACATGGGAAGGTCCTGTTGAGTTTCTTGCTGCCATCCTTTGTATCCATCCTCGCTGACAAGCTGCCGTGCTGCACGTTGGGCATCCCAGCTGGCTCCATGTTCTCCCACCTCCTCTCCAACCACACGCTCTGCTTACCTCCAGGGTTCTCCAGTGCCTTAGGTGCTTTTCCAGACCCTCAGCACCACCCCAGCACCATCAGCACCGTCCTGCAACCCACAGTGCATGGGAGCAGGGACCATACTGACCCTGGGGATGCTGTCGAAGGTGCAGGTCTGCACCACCAGCTCCAAAATGCATCTCAGGGCATCGGCATCATCACCACTGCCTGTTGGTCTGCTGGGGTGGCCAGAGAAATTTGTCCCTTTAAGGGACACACTGACGCTGCAGAGAGCCTTCCCTGCATTTATGTGCACTTGGCAGGATTATATAAATTGCCTTTAAAAGTTGACTTCTTTATAAGCCATTTTCTGCTTCATAAAATGTTTATTACTGTTGTTTTTCTCCCAGTTCTTCTTCCTTGCTGCGTTTTCCATCGCGACACTGGGAAGCTCCCCTCTTCCCCTGCCTTCCACCCCTCTGCCTCCCACCTCTCCCCACCTTTCAGGTGCTGGAACGGGGCGTTTGAAAGGTCAGAGCCTTTTATCTTGGGAAAGAAAAATAGCTATACATTGAGCTGTGGATGTAAGAGCTGCCAGGGGCAGGGTTTAACCGCTGGGTGCAGGATGGGTGGTTTTGGGGTTGCGGAGGCGGCAGAGGGAGCACGGGCAGCCCCACGCCACTGCCTCCATCCATAACCCCCGCCTGCAAGCACGCAAGCAAATAACAAAGCCCAGATAATTTCAAGCTCCATTAGAAACGAAACTCTGGGGAAAACGGGATCGCTGTTTGCCAAATAGGGAAGGACAGGAGGAATAACAGAGATCGCGCCCCAGGCCGCCCAAGAAAGGTGAGGGATAAAGCAGGGGGGACGTGGTGGCACGGCTGGATGCCCCTCCGTGGCCACGGAACCCTGGATGCAGCATCCCTCCAGGTGTGGTGGCCCGATGCGTGGCTCTGGTGGCCGTGCCAGGCTGTGCATGGCCACCAGTGGCTGTTCCCGTGGGTTTGCCACGGCGATGCAGGCAGGGCTTTGTGTTCAAAGCGGCCTTAGAAGGGCGAGCGCCAGCTCCTTATCCCCCTTTCATTTTTCTCCTCCTTTAATTACAGATCCTACTTATCAGCCGAGAACAGAAAGATCGTCTCCGTAA